CCTATATATATCTTGTATATTCTTATATATATTTCTATATATTCCTATATTATATATTTCTATATATTCCTATATTATATGTTTCTGTATATGTTCCTATATATTCTTGTATTATATTATATTCCTATATATTTCTATATTTATTATTCCTATATGTATCCAGAGCTACTTATAAACTGTTTGTTATGTAGAAAATTTATTTCTGAATGATAAATGAATAAAAGTTGTTTGAATAAAATTACGAAGTATAAATATATAAAATGTTAGGGTATTATGTAATAATTAGTTTCTTATTTCAGTATTTTTGAAATATGACTATATGACTATCTGACTATGTAATTTGAAAAATAAAAAGATGTTAACCCTTTTCACTACAATGTCGAATTTAGCTTGTCATAACCTACCCTAATAACTGTGAGCATAAGAATATTTAATTTGTCTTATTATGTATAAAATTCGATGAATTTCGAAAATTTTGATCCACTCAAGTGGTTATTTAAAATTAAATACCTCTTCGATGTAGAATTTTTCGTAATTAAATCGTAGTGCAAGGGATTAATAATAATTGGTTCTTGATATATCTCAGTTGTTTTAATATTATCAAAATGTTATCTATTACAGTTAAAACAAAAATTCAAAATGACTATCATATTTTAATTAAAAAACAAAATAACAACAAAATTGATCGTTACATTATACATGTACTTTTATTTATAGCATGATAAATAATTTACAAGTAATTTCAAGCGATAAAGTCACATAACTCAGCCTATACATTGAACAATTGAAGATATTAATAACTGTATAATAATTAATAACTGAACAAATATAATATTTTAAAACTTTCATTCATACGTTGTCTCTAATCATAAATAAAATTCTAAAGTATGTAACTCGACTAGGACGAACTAGGACATAAATATGGCTGCCGGTTCTCCCTAGCAGGTTATCAAAATTCATTTCACTAGGATATCCCTAGACGTACCTGGTTCCTCGAATCCTCTTCCTCGTCTGTACAATCTTCGCTGACAATACTGGCGCCTCTCGGACTGAGCCCAGGAGGGCTGTAACCATTGACACCCCTGTTCTCAGCCCTCTTCTGAGCGGCTCTGGCATTCTTGAACCAGTAGACAACGTTATTTACGTCCAAGGGCTTCCTGCCTCGCCGAGACTCTAGGGCATTCAATTCCGAGACGTAGTGTTGAATCTGTTGACGTGACGGGTGTTGATTCTCACCGAACCATCGCTGTAGCCGCGGTAACTCCAGTTCGGGATCGAAACTCGTTCTCATCCTAGTTTTATGCGAGTATTGGAGAAGCGCCGGATGCGGCGGGCCAATAGCACCACCTGGCGGACCGATAGTTCCACCGCCGTCCGGCTGAGGGCTCTGTGCGTGGTGTTGGTGATGGTTCGACGAGGGTACCATAGGATTTAGGCCTAAGCCCAACTGTTGCTGTTGCAACCATGATTCGAAGTTTCGTTTCGTTTCTTCCGATAAATCGTTTCCACCTCTGCACAATGATAATAACGTCATCTGGAAATTAAACGATAAATTTTCCTTGAGCATCGGGAAAAATTTCTTTTTACTAATACTATGAGCTTTTGATCCTTCTTTTATGGTAAATAAACGATTATAACACTATTTTTGAGGTACTTTGGGAGAATTTTAATTTTGCATCTTTCCCTAGTTATCTTGTATTTAGCAAATCTTTCGCGTATTGTAATCGTTGGTTTTTTTTTACACAATTTGTGTCCGAGCTTCGATTTTTTTTTTCTTTTTGTGGTAAATAAAAGAGCGTGACAGTGTTTTTAAGGTACTTTGGGAAAATTTTTATTTAGGGTTGGATCAGTGCTGCGTTGGTCTTCGTTCATTTAGGGATTTTCTTTTCCTAGTTATCTTTTATTTAAAAAATGTTTTATGTGCATTATAATCGTTGGCTTTTTTACAAAATTTGAGTTTGAAAATAATTTTGAAAATAATGGTAAATACTTGATGGTAGAAAGATCTTTTCAAGTACTTTTTCCTAAATTTCTATAGTGAAGATGTTTTAATTATTTTTTATTCTAAATTTCACGAATTTTAAGAATTCCTGCAACTTATAATTGTATCTTACAATCCCACTAGTCATATTAAAGGAAAATATAAAGGAAATAAAGAAGCATAAACAGTAATTTTTAAAAAATTCTTATACATTCTGAGAATTTGAAATTATGATAGTTTATCAAATTTGCAAAAATTTTTAATTAATGAGTACTTCCAATAATATATAATTAGTTTATATTACAGTAACGATAATATTGATCTTTCAAGCATCACAAATGTATCTTGTGAAAGAATAGGCACTTATACGAACATTTTCCAAAATTTGTGGTCTATATTCTACAGTGAGGATATTCCAATTATTTTTCATTCCAAATTTCATAAACTCAAGAGTTTGTAAATTAGTATAAAATGACTCTGTAACCAAACTATACTAGCTTAAAATATTAAAAACCATAAACAGTAATTTTTTTAAAATTCTTATACATTCTACAGATTTGAAATTATAATAACTTATCAAATTTGCAAAAATAGTTGTAAAAATAGATTCCTAAATTTAATAAAAACAAAGTACTATTTTTAATTAACGAGTACTTGAAGTAATATGCAATAAGTCTATCGTAACGATAATGTAGCACAATATAGTATTATATCGCTGTAATAACCATAGTTTCTTATCACTGTACTATACGATAATGTCACCTATGTAGCAGAACACATATTCCAGCTAATCTCGCAAAATATGATAAGGTTAACGACAAAAATATTATACTCTTCGCAGTCACTACTTGCAAGACTAAGCAACGGATCATTAACCAAACTAAAATACCAAATGACGATAAGCCACGTGCAAATAGCACGACGACTTAGTCCAGATCGTTCAACTTCAAGTTCACAATTAGAATTTAAATCAATCCTGGAAACCTACCTGATCCAGCAACGTCTTTATTCAGATGACAACATGCTTCTTTATCTATCAGTCGCAAATTAGGATGCCAAACATCTCGATGTCGAAAATTACCCAGCAGTAAAATCACTGATACTTTTATATTAAACGATATTCTATCTCTCAGGTGGGCTAAGTTAGGTTAGGTTAGGTTACGACTGTGGCATCGTTGACGCGCGGTAATTCCACGCCTATGCCGTTAAGGGGCCGGATTATGGAAAAGTTTAGAGTTCGTAGGAAGTAGTACGAGGTTTGACAAACGTGTGCGTTATCTGGACAATGATTTACAAGAACAAATATCTCCGCCCGCGAGGATCAAGGCGCTCGACGCCACTCTAATAACGCGGTAATCCGTGGCGTATCCATGGCACCTTCGTAGCGCCAGATACGGCGCAGAACAATTATTATCCACGACCTGTCAACCGCTAGAATTCTCATCCGGCGAATTTTACAACACGGCACTTAATCACTCAGGTAGGCAGCCGAGACTCGTACCGGTTGACAGGGCACGAGATTTGAGAAATCGGCTGATAAACATGTAAACACCGTCGAAGAAAAGAAAAAGAGAAAAACGGGCCAACCGGCTTATCTGACGACATCGCGCTGTAATTCGAGGCCTGATTTACGCCTATTTATTATTACCAGATGACGCAGTAGCGTCAGCTGATCATCCGCAGGGTAGCAGTAAATCAATCGTCACCGCAAGAGCTGATCAAATATTCTCGAACGAATTCATGGTATCGTCAACGAGGCTCGAGTGTAGACTTTTCCGTAATACAGAGGCTAACAGTCGGAGACAAAGCAGGAAAACCACCGGGAAAATTAGACAACGATTTAAGCTTGTTATTCAGAGATTTCTAGATCCGTTAAAGTTTCCTACGATGTGCCGTCTCTCGTTTGTGTATATCATTTTTAACACCACTTTGGAGGAATGTCCATGTAAATTATCTATGTTGATACGGTTCTTTGCTTCTTGATAAGTATTAGCGTTGCTTTTAGTTACATTGTCGTTGGGGAAGCGGATGAAGATATTGAGAACTTGATGTGCTAATTGTTAACTAGTTAGGATAACAAACTAAGGTTATGTTCATATACATATGTGTGTATGTTTGGATTGATAAATAGATGCATGAATATATCTTCCTCTTTTGTAATGGATTATGATGAAAAATTCCTAAAAACTGTCTATTTTTCTGCAAAACGTATCATTTCTTCATTCATATCTTTTAATTTTTCTTACAACGTTACATGAGCAATGTATGTTCACCCATTGTTAATAAATAAGAGGAATTTTTTATATTCTGATACTAAGTTTTGTTATTTTTTACTTTTTTCTTTATTATCAATATTACTTTCAAGTTTTGCCATTTTATATTACATATGATTGTTAAATATATCACATACATTGAATTAGATTGTTGTTTCATGTAATCTATTGTTAGGTTACATTGTTTTATTAATACCATTTTATCTATATAGGTTTCAAATTGTATCATTTTATATGTTATTCGATATCTAAAATTTGGGATACATTATTATATTCTACTTTCACTTATTATTTCATACATTCTATTTTCAAGCTGATTTTCTTCTGTCAAGTTTCATCATTTTATATAAAATGTCAAATTTTATTCCATACTCTATTTCTAAAATTTGGGGTACAGTATTATATTCTAGTGCCACTTATTATTTCATACATTCTATTTCCAAGCTGATTTTTTTCTGCCAAATTTCATCATGTTACATATAATATTATCAAGTTTTATCATTTGATTTTTTCTATTACCAAGTTATGTCATTCCAAATATTATGTTCCCAAGTTTTGTTATGTGAAATTACATTCTGTTGCCAAGTTTTGTTATTTTGTAAGTTCTATTACCAAATTTTTCCACTTGATATAACTCTCTATTGCTAAGTGTTGTTATGTCACACAATAAAGTCTTATCATTTCATATTAAATTATACCACCAAGTTTTATTCTCCCATATACTCAATTGCCAAATACTTCCATTTAATATCACATTCTATTGCAAAGTACTAGCCTACTACTAATTTCTCTTGTTTCTCACTACGTTACACCATAAAATTTTATCATTCCAAATATTCCATTACCAAATCCTGACATTCACGTATTCCACTCTGAAAACTGCTATCACTTCATTCCATATTCCACTGCCAAGCTTTATCATTTTACATAATCTCTTGCCAAATCTTCTCATGTGACATAACCTCCCACCAAGATTTACCATTCTACGCCACATATCCTACAGCCATATATCCATCATCAATTCACAAAGTCCCAGAGAACAATCTAACACGAAAGAAACGACTTCTCATATGCGATTGACTTGAATCCACGAATCATATACGAAGACCTTGCTCTATCAGCGGTTAGCGCGTGGCAATAATACTAACATAAGTGTTAGAGGAGGCAATTCCAGGCATGACAGCTAATCATGCAAATTTGTCGAGACTTCATAAATCGGTTGGACGCCATTGTTACCCAACGCGAATGTACAGTCTTGGCCGAATGATCGGCAGATTAAGTCGCATGAGCACCAGCCGGCGATTCTCCATCACAGCCGTTCGCCATTAGCCGACGGGCCGAAACTCGAGCAGGAAACGTCTGTCAGGGAAAATTGGTAATCATAGACCACCGCGAGCGGCATTAAAGTTCGGGGATGGGCGAGTATAGCAGGATCTTCAAAGAGAGTGCACTTAGATAATGCCCGCCCGAAGGGGGTGGCATACCCCCATCACCCTTCTTCTTCCGATATCGAGGGGGCTTTTGATGAAGGCTGCGAATTTGGTTGAGTAAAGGGTAATCCTATCACATGCTATGAGATCTTCGTTCCCGTGGAAAGGGCATGCCCAAAGCGTAGAAATCGTTCGGCGGTGCTTCGACCTTCGTGCAAACCAAGTCGAGTGGACCTGTCGGATAACCTCGCGGATTATCTTTATTTTTTTCAATTCACTATGCAATGAATACGTATGGATAGTTTGGGTGTGGTTAGGCTATTTGTATTTTGGGATATGGTAATCGGTGTTGAGATGACGATTTTTTCATTTTATTGGGATAAATGTGTATTATTTTCAGGGTGATGGTAAACTTCGTGTTTGTGACATTTGAGGTTATGTATGATAGTATAATATACGATATAATGATGAAATAATATATAATATATCATTATTGTAATATATAATATATACTGCCAATATACGGTATAAAATGTATTATAATGTGTAGTATAATACTATAATAATTGCATTAATTGTATTAATCAGAATTAATTAAATCAATTTTATTTTATTTATTTTTTTTTTTATTTTTTCTCAGTAATAAAATGTTGTCTGTGTAAGAAAAAATTGAATATATATAATAGAATAATGTATAATATATTATTATTGTAATATATGATATATATTATTATATTGCCAATATTAGGCATAGAATGTATTATAATGTATAGTATAATAGTATAATAAATTCTGATTAGTACATTCATAGTATAATTAATGCCTCCATTTTTATTTTATTTCTTTTTTTTTTATTTGTAAATTGTTACTAAATGTAAAAACTGAAAAAAATGTCAATATAACATGGATTAAAGCTGAACCATGTATTCAAAACAGTTTTTGATAATCTGGTGGAATTATTTTGTTGCTCTATGAAACAAGTGATATTTTAACGATACGTTCTATTTATAACTATACTGAGTGTAATATTATTTTTGTTTTCAAGATTACGATATGTCAATATTTTTTATAATAATTTTTAGTGTTATTATGATTAACATTTTTATTCTATTTCTTCTTTCTATTTTTAATTAATATTAATATTAATAATATAATTTTTTAGTATTGCCATAACAAACTTTTTAAATTTTTAAAACATTTTAACAAATACTCTTTAAACTGTCCAAATATATACAGGTATTTAACTATTAGTTTATAGAGTAATTAGTTGACTATTGGTTAACAGTTATTAGTAGCAATAATAAATTGCATCAATATAATCAGTATCTTGCACCCACAAATTTTTCTTTAAATATTACTCAATTCCTATCTAAATCTTGTTAGCACAAGAGCAAAAGCTGTCAGTAATAAGTATTAATATAACTATAAATTTCAGCTTATCAGAATCCTAAACATAACCTAAAAATTAAATAGACCCAAATAAATCAAGTAGTACATTATTATTGCACTATTGATAATTATTAACCCAACCTAATTAACCAAAAAGTTAATGTTATCACAAAAACAAAAACTGTCAGTGTTAAGTATCATTATAATCATAAATTTCAGCTTATTAGAACTCTAAACCTAACCTAAAAATTAAATCGACCCAAAAACAAATCAAGTAGCGCATAGCTAATAATTAATTCAATCTAATTAACCAAAATGTTAATATTATCACAAAAACAAAAATAGTCAGTGTTAAGGATTAACATAATAATAAATTTCAGCCTATTAGAACCCTAAATCTAACCTAAAAATTAAATAAACTCAGGAACGAATAAAGTAGTGCATAGGTAATTATTAACTCAACCTAATTAACCAAAATGTTAATATCTATGTTAAAAAGGAGGGTTGCGAGTCTTGTCCCGATGCCTCGAAACCAAGAAAACATTTACTTAAAACGAAGATCAACGGATCGAGACCAAGAATCTGGCAAGGATTACCCCTAGTTCTTAAAGGAAGAACAAGGGTACAAGATGGAGGACTTCTTAATGAGATTAGGTGGCCCAACGGCAAGCACTTTCTGGTTAGATTTACATTTTATACATTTTTAAGTGGTCTTACACCGTGGTTCCTTTTGGCTGCTTGATCCTGAATCGTTCTTAAATTCCGTGCCCTAATGCTTTAATGCGGTTACCCGATCTTAATCTTTGTTCGAAGCACCGATTCCTCTTCATTCTTGCATCTCGAGTTAATTTTCGTTTCAGCCCCGCGAACGTTTAATAATTTATTTAGGCCTGTTAATTAATAATTGTTGTTATGGAAACTTTTGGCAGATAATGCTGTCATTATAGAATTTTATATGAAAATAAAATGCATTTTGTTTTCTTTGTTTCTTTGTTTTATTGTCTTCGTTTGTTGAAAAGGTGCTGAAGAATTGGTATCGAAGGATTTAACAGTTGGGGGATGTCTTTTTCTCTTTTTAAAAATTATTTATCGTAATTTTTCTGCAATTTACTAATTTTTGTGGTTTTTTATTTTTTTATAATTCTAATAATTTTTAGAATTTGTTTTCTGAATTATTGAAATTTGTGGTTTAAATAATTGCTATGTATTATTAACATTTGGTATTAAATAATTTTTTGCTATTTGACAATTTCGTTTATTTCAATTATTTTTGTGGCTTATTAATTTTCAATTAGTGACTTATCAGTGATTTATCAATTTTTGATTGAATTTTGTATTTCAATTGAAATTGTCATATTGATTATACTTTCAAGTGTTATGAATTATACCAATGCTTGGTAACCATAAAATTTTTCAGTAATACTCCTAAGCTATAGTATTCCCAAAAGTACCCCAATTCTGGAAACTGACCTAATTTTATAGGGAAAATGTCTTCAACAAAGCAATAAAAAGGGGAACCAAATATTTTTATAAAGAAGATAATCTTCAAACCTTCTTCATAGCTTTTTAAATACTTCTTCAAATATCAATACAGTAATCAACATACACCTATAATCCAATTAGTAAAATTGGGTGTCTTAAAATACTGCACTATTTTAAATAAAGTCTAAAACTATTTAATTAAAACTAAAACAAACGTTTAATAACATCTGTGACAATATTGCAAAAGAATGTTAATAAGTAATTAAGAATAGTTGAAAATAGTTAAAAATAGTTGAAAATAGTTAAAAATAGTTAAAAATAGTTGAGAATAGTTAAAAATAGTTGGGAATAGTTAAAAATAGATGGGAATAGCTAAAAATAGTTAAAAATAGTTAGAAATAGTTAAGAATAGTTAATAAGTAAGTTAATAAATATATTTAAAATAAATAAAGTTAAAATTAAAAGTAAATAAAATTACTTGACATGTTTGTCATTTATATTGACAATATTAGATGAAGAGAATAGAGAAGAGGTAGTCAAAAATTGCAGCACTCACCTCGTCCAGGGGGCAGCCAGCTGAGACGAGAAGAGCGTGACTATGGAGCAACAATAGTCTCAACAATTTGTTTCTAACTTCGGCTGCTGGACTAGGCGGTGGAGGTCTCGACCTGTACACTTGGATCTTCAAAGTGGCGACCGATGTTAACTCAGCTAGGATATCGCCCACGGTTAACAGAGGACCATCCGCAACCTTTTCCATCGGCAGAGGCTTCCAGTTCCTTATGACGATGCTTCCTCTGGCACTTGGTATCAAGTCGCTAGAGTATCCCAGACTATTAATGAAAGCTACTATTTTTGTTTTATTCTTTATTATGTATCATTTTATTATTTTATTATTTTATTAAAATTATTATATATAATACATAAATTATAAAATTATAATATAATTGGCTTTAATTGTAAGAATTTCAGTCTTCAATCTTTTGACTATTATATTATTTTTATTGGGATTAGGATAATATGTAAGAACTGGATTTTATATAATTTTATTTCACTGTAAATATATGTTCATTAATCTTGTTAAATTTTATTCATTAATAAAAGCTATTACTTTTATTATTATTATTTATTGTGTGTTTAAGTTTGTACAGTAGAGAAGGTTTTTGGTGTTTCATTACTATAATATATTATTATTACAAGTTTATTTTTATATTTAATTACGAGATTTATAAAATTACTTTAACTTTATTAATAAATAAGTATTTTATAATTTAATTTTTGTGTATATAATTTACAATTTATTGTCATACTGTAAAATTTTATGTGTATTTTTATATTTAATAACTGGATTCATTAAATTTTTTTAAATAAATGTTTTATAATTTAATTTTTGTATATATAATTTATAATTTATTGTTGTAATGAAATATTTTATTTATATAAGAGAAAAATTCTTTAATTTTTCAATTACTTTAATATATTATTATTAAAAGATTATTTTTGTATTTAATTTAACTGGATTCATTAAATTTCTTCAAATAAATGTTTTATAATTTTATTATTACTCTTTTTATTATGTTTAAGTTTGTACAGGAGAGAAGGTTTTCATTTTTATAATTTAATTTTTGCATATATAATTTACAATTTATTGTAATATTGTAAAATTTCATTTGTACAGAAGAAAAGGGCTTTACTTTTTAATTTCTATACATAACATTATTAGAAGATTAATTTTATATTAAATAACCTTTCGTATCCATAATTTATAATTTATTGTTTTAATGAAATATTTAATTCTATATATAAAGAAAATTTTCAGTTTCTTAATTATTATATTATTATTAAAGGATTGTTTCTATATTTATTGACTATATTCATTAATTTCAACGATATTAATTTATATAAATAAAGGCTACTATCTTTTTACAGTACATTGGTACAGTGGAGTGTTAATTCTATATAAAGCAGAAAAATACTTACTTGGAAAGGCATAGCCACAGGGATGATAACGTAAGAGTCCGTTTCTACTTGAGGTCTCCGCCAATTTTCACGAGAGTTGCTTACATGGGTTTCTACGATGTTGTGAATCGTCTCGACTACACAATGCACTGGAAGATTCTTTCCTGAAATTAAAATGATATCTTTTCTCAACACCTCTGTGTTACATTTTATTTATTAACTCATACAAGTCATCATTAACAAGTACATTATTCAATAAAATATTTAATTATAAACTAATTAATATCCAATCTTACAATTTATATTCCTCTTGCATTATTTATAATATATTCCAAGTATAAAATTTAAAAAAAATTTGGAAAAAATAAAACAAATAAATAAAATAAGAAATAAAACTAAAAGAAAAAAAGAATCTTCAAATAAAATTGAATTAAAAGTATTTATACAAATATTTATATCGTATAATTGTAAAAGAGGACATTCTATGTTATAATAAACATCTAGTTTCAAACTTTATCTCATTAAATAAACAAATTTAATAGATTAAAGAAAATAATAAGAAAATTCACTTTGTTATTTCAATTAATTATTATTATATATTCAATAACATTTTCACCTATTATTCTAAATAATTTCATGCTATTTATAATAATTAAAAATTATATTGTCACAGAATTCCTTTTTCTTTTCTTCAAAACACGTTACTATTCAAACCACATATATTTAAAACACCATAAACACACTATAATTAATTACAATTTAACAACAATTTAATTAACCAAAATACCAACCACATTTTTCCCATAGACCAAAGAAATAAACAAAACACTAGCACAGCAACTTAAATAAAAATCGAATCAATCACGATGTCTGTACACGGAAATTCACCCTACTCGAAAAATTTTCATTCGATTATTATGCGAAAGTGTTTGAGGAAAAATTCTCGATCATTCAGAATGCAGAACAAGGCAACTCGAACAATCCAGGTAGTTCCGGCTCTATACGGTTCGACCGACAATGGGCACACGCTTTCGCATTTCAGGATTTGAATTCGAGGGTCCAGATGATTCGTGAAGCTGAAGATCGCTGAGAGAAGTCTAACTCTCGTGCTAAGCATATGCAGATCCACTCGTCTATCCCGAGACAATAAGAGCTGGGCGATGGCACAATAGCTGCGATCCTTGTGTAACCCTGACTTAAGTCCCAGAGTCTATCCCACTTCAGGTCGTAATCCCAGACTTCTACGAAACCGAGGAAATGGAGAACGAGAGGAAGCAACTAAAGAAAGAGAAGGAGAGAAACTTGGCTTCGCCGATTTCATCCGGAGAACAACGAAATACTTATTAACCAAAATACCATAACATCTTTCGATTGAAAACGAAACGAGAACTGTTCGTGCCTCCATCTTGCTTTCGAGTATGTTATAATAATTAACCTATCGTATTTCGAGAATTTTTTGACTCAACCAGCTTTTCGACGTAATAATTGTTCCAATTTTTTAATAAAATTAGAAATACTGGTTATTTATTAGGCATGATAGATTTGCTTTTATTGGTATAATTATTGGCGAGATGAGATAACACGTTTTGTAAGGTTACGGATGTCTCCGCGTAGTGGCGCTAGTGTAGTTTAAAGGTTAAGTATCGGTTCCTTATGGATAATAATGAATAATCGTTATAATATTATTATTAGAGTCGACTAATGGAGGATTAATCGATTTTTGTTTTCAGTTTTAAATTTTCTTGGTTATGTATGGAATATTAGTATGAAAAATAAACTTGTAAAGAGTATTTATAGTTAACAACAAAGTCTTCGAAACTGGGATTTCAATTTACAAATGAGAAGTATGATTGTTATATTTATGAATGTGTGAACATAACCTGTAAATGTATGAACCTAACCTATACTAATTTCAACGAATTTTTGAACATTGCACGTACGTATATTATAATCGAAAGCAGAGTTAATTATAATTTCATATTCTTACGAAAAACAATTATTTGTGAATCTTATATTTGTTATTAGTAGATAAACATTCTAATACTGTTATTGGAGACGAGCAATGAGGAATTAATCAATCATTAATCATTTTCATAGAAAAGTTGTACTTTAAAAAATGTATAGGTTAGGTAGAACCTAATACTTGAATAATTGTGCATGGATTTTAAAAAAAATAAGCTTTCAAAGAGTATTTAATGAAAAGCGAAATCAATAAAATTACGTTTTTAATGGAGAAGTAAGGGGAAATGCAACTGTCGCGAACCTAACCTATACCAGTTTCTATTAATCTTCAAATTTGCGTATTATTTTCACGAATATAATATAGCATATTCTAATATTAATTACTATTATATTACATATTATTTATTCCTTATGAATAATAATAAATGACATTTATTATGAAGTGATGATAATTCCATTATAATTATGCACTAGGTTATGCGAAATATAATATTTGAAAAATTATATTGAATGTTATAAACAGTATTTAACGTACAAAGAAGAAACCTAACCTATACTAGCATCTACGAACCTTCGAATTCACATTATTCTCAAAAACATAGTATATGTAAAATACCAATAATAATTCTAATATTTACAAACAACTAACAATGTAGAAATTGATTAATTTTCATTTCCAAATTTCTAATTTCATACAAAAATTATACTTTAAGACACAAATAGGTTATGTAAGATATATTTGAACAATTATATTTGAATACTATACTAAAATCACTAAAATAGTGTATTTAATGTAAAAAAAAACGAACCTAACCTATACCATTATACCACTATCATCGACTTCTCATACTATTTTCACAAGTACTCGAATACTATACTATGCTATACTCAAATTATTAAAATATCATCGACTTCTCATACTATTTTCACAAGTACTCGAATACTATACTATGCTATACTCAAATTACTAAAATAACGTATCTGCTATAAAAAAAACAAACCTAACCTATACCATCATCTATCAAGCTTCGAATTCTCATATTATTTTCACGAGTACTCGATTTGAATACTATACTCAAATCACTAAAATAGCGTATCTACTGAAAAAAAACAAACCTAACCTATACCATTATACCACTATCGTCGGATTCTCATACTATTTTCACAAGTACTCGAATACTATACTAAACTATACTGAAATCACTAAATTAACGTATCTACTGTAAAAATACAAACCTAACCTATACCATTATACCACTATCGTTGACTTCTCATACTATTTCCACAAGTACTCGAATACTATACTATGCTATACTCAAATTACTAAATTAACGTATCTGCTATAAAAAAACAAACCTAACCTATACCATCATCTATCAAGCTTCGAATTCTCATATTATTTTCACGAATAGTCGATTTGAATACTATACTCAAATCACTAAAATAGCGTATCTACTGAAGAAAAACAAACCTAACCTATACCATTATACCACTATCGTCGAATTCTCATACTATTTTCACAAGTACTCGAATACTATACTAAACTATACTGAAATCACTAAATTAACGTATCTACTGTAAAAATACAAACCTAGCCTATACCACCATCTACCAAGCTTCGAATTCTCATATTATTTTCACAAGTACTCGACTTGAATACCATACTGAAATCACTAAAATGGCGTATCCACTGTAAAAGAACAAACCTAACCTATACCACCATGTACCAACCTTCGAATTCTCATATTATTTTCACAAGTATTCTACATATTTCCACCAACTGAAATATGGAATCTTGTTTCAGACTGTTTCCAATATACAACAGCGACTTCTTCCTCGCGGACACGTTGATCGACTTACATATTAAATCATAAACTGATACAGGATGTTATCAGTGCTCGTTGATGTAAGGTGCTAAGTCTCTGAGTAAGATGACCAACAAAGGATTTACTGCCGGTGGCACGATATTAGGTATTAATGCCCTAAACTTCCATCTAATACGCTGGTTGCCATAGGGTCTACCCCTAGGTTGCATAAGACAGGTCATACCTAGGAGAACCGAAGGCTGACCAGTGGCCACCTTAATCCAGGGACGTACAGTTTTCATTAAGGTGCCCTGTCCTAGCGTCGTCACTGTGCGGGGATCAGCTGGTTTAAGGTAGGCTTCTACTCCGCAGATTTGACCACGGCTGGCCGTATTATGCGGTCTGTTTATTAGCAACCTTCCTTGATGCGCGCAGATCCGCTCTTGTAATCTGCCGTTCCTCCTTTGATACCTGTTTTACCATTCCAAAATTTTTTATTTCTCTATTAATCCACTTTCACTTCATTCCATTTTGTCGGAAACATTTCGAATAATTGTCTAGAGCAGAAAAATTATTATTCTTTTCTATATTATCCTATATCTATCTTTTCTCATAAGAAGAGTAGCGTTGCCAATAGTAATACAATTTATGTGATAATGTGATATGTAATTTTATTCAAGCACCAATCTTTATTGTTCGTCAACGAATTTATTAGAGCTCTAACGACGCAAATATAATAAGAATATTAATTAATAATAATTATTGCACTAATAGGAGGCTCATTGAGGACCGAATTATTTTATAGAAATTGGCCAAAAATTTTCTTATTTTTTTTATCATCGATTTAGTAAATTGACTATTAAATAAAAAAAGACTGGTTTTTTGGAAAATTCAAATATACGTGTTAACATGGCTTAATAATAAACGCAAATTATTATCATTCATGCTGATTGTCATTTTCTGTTACACTTTCCATTTCGATGCCTTCAGGATCATGCAAAGGTCATGGTATGCTAGGTCGTTGAATTCGTATAGATATAAGCAATAATAACATCAGGTCAAAAATATAAAGTGCTATTTGAAAAAATCGAATGTGACCTTGACAATTTTTGGAAAACAATATTTTTAAAAAACTTTTTTTCGTAATTGTATAGAACACGAAAAACAGAGCAACTTTTGTCTAAAACATTTTTTCGTCAGATCATCGCAAGTACTTGAAAAATCGTGTTTAACTTACGTGGGACAACCCCCATAATATAATATAATATTATACGATAATAATAATTAATAATATATAATAAATATTGCATATATTTTCATAAACATATAAAATATATGTTTCACGTTATTTTAAATATATTTTAT